GAAAAGGAAGAAAAACCGTTAAATGCTTCGCGAACTGGTTTCGCGAGCAAACGTAATGGAAAATTGAATGAAGGTATCCACTTTTATCTCTTTTATTCTTCTTGGAACAACTAAAGTCTGGAAGAATTCGAGCGATTCGATTAATTCAATAATTATTAGGAAGGCACGTTTAAAAGAATTGATGGGAGCGGATAATCGGTTCGATAATATTATACAGAAGGTTATTTCGTTATTTAAAATGTATATCTCTATATTGTAACAAATTCGATTGAAATAATGAAAGTATGTTGACGCGTTATGAGAAATGACAGCAATGAAATTGTTGAAGTCGTCGAATATGGAGCGACGTTTTACGAATTGTGATGAATTAAAAATTCGTTTTACTAAATATATATATATATATATATATAATATATCTATAACTTCTATATAATGTATCTACATTTTTTTACCAATCTCCAATTATTTTTTAGATTTTATATATATATATAAGAATTTCGTAAGAATTGAATGCCAATTAACTTACAAAATTGCGAAAAATCCTTTCTTCGAAAATGTACATCCTCGAAAGAAAAAAATTCCACGACGCACACGTTTGCGTCACTACGCTCGAGCATGTTAACACATATTTCGTTTCTGAGAAAGTTTCTGAGAACTGGAATAATCCAGAATGGAATACACGAATTTCACGAAGCAATGCCGTTTCAATATTAATTCTCTGAAACGAAACCTCCTCTCGATACACGTTCCTCTCCAACAATAATCCGATCTACGTCCTCGCATATATATATATATATATATTTCATCCTTTTACACAAGAAATAAACCCAACGAGCCATTAAATGTATCATAATATCCAAACAATACCAGAGCCGCGGTGATTCGAAGGATTGTAAACTTTATGAGATACACGAATAACCTCTGGGCCATCCTCCATCCGTCGTTTCGTTTAAAATCGAAAGAACTGACTATTAATGGGCCACATGACCATAGCGTAGCAACAATATGATAGCGCTAGTAAAATGGCGATGGGCAAAACGGGTCGAGGATCGCGCTCCATCCTCCGACGTAACCCAATGTTCCCTCGGCCGTAAAATTTACGAGTACTCGTGGTACTTTCTTGCACCGACCTACGCCATGATGTACGGCGGACACGATGACACGTCGCGGTATTACGAGCAACGTATGTTAAACGCCCAAGAATCGACCGAATAGCGTCCGTCAGCTGTCTATCGGAGAAGGAGCGTGTCCAAAGCGCGTTAGAACTCCTTAGTATATCCGGCCGTTTCACGCGAGTGAAACAAACGAGACGAGACGGAGAGAGAGAGAGAGAGAGAGAGAACGAACGAATGATCGACACACGAAATCCATTATCATACGATCGAATCTTTCCGATCACGTCCCATCGACGCTGGAAACAGCCGACATTTACGACTGGTTAAACATATTGTAATGTCTGGCTGCGGACAAATGCAAATCTGGGCTTCCTGTTTCCAGGAACGGCACCGATATCCGCGAAGCATGGGAATCTTCGATAAAGAATTCCTCGTTGCTGACACAAACCCTCTCGTGATTTCCACGCACGCCTTTCGCTGGAATTTCCCTTCTTCCTTTTTTTTTTTTTTTGCGGAAAAGGATGCTGCAAAACAGGAAATAATATCTTAATTCTATTTATAAGATAGAAAAAGTGCGTGTACCTGTTCTATTCGAGATAATTTATCGCTTAACTGCGTTGTTTCGAAAGGGACTGTGAAAAGAAGAATTGCGAGTAACGTTACATGTAAAGATAATTTTTCAATTTACAATTCTGAAACGAAAAAGGATACATAGATTATGCAATAATATCTGTTTATTTGAAAAATGTTATTTGTTAATTTATTAATTCGAAACTGTTAATTATTAACTCTCAAATAAATCAAAAGAAAAGGATGCTGCAAAACAGGAAATAATATCTTAATTTTATTCATAAGATAGAAAAAGTGCGTGTACCTGTTCCATTCGAAATAATTTAACTTTCGAAAGGAACTGTAAAAGGAAAAATTGCGAGTAACATTACGCGTAAAGATTAAGATAATTTTTCAATTTACAATTCTGATGAAAAATTTATTAATTCGAAACTATTAATTATTAATTCTCGAATCAACCAAAAGTTTCGAAGACCATGATTTAAGAATTTCAGATTTCGAGATTACACGAATGATATGAAAATCGATAACTATAGATTCGATATATAAAAATCCCAATTATCTTTGTCTAAAATATGATGATATTACATTATATACATCGGCTAAAATAAATTTCATCAGCTCTAATCTTACACCGCTATTCCTCGATGCTAAAAGCGTGCCACAAACAGATTAAGATTAAGAACAGATAAGAAACATTGTTCCAATCTTTAAAGGAATCACGGCGAAGGGAACGCCTGAAGATAGAATTAGTGGTCGTTGAAAATAGAGAAAAAGAGAGGAGGAAAGAGAGAACCACATCGTTATTCCAACACTTTCCCCCATCGATCTATCTAATACCTTCCAGTTAACCGATCTTACATCTCGCTTCTACGGCTCCTTTCCGTAACGCCTCGGAATACCGCATGAAAGACAAGCGAGCTCTCTGTTTACGATCGTTCGGAACGGCAAGATAGAGATAGCCACCTCGAAGCACAATCCAAGCCCGGCTCCCCGGTCACGGGTCTACGAACATTTCGTTAACGCGTTATCTCGCGTGGCCCATCGATTTCTTCGTCTCCGAGTGGAGAGAATCGAAATAACGCGAGGTGCTTCTTGGGAGAGATGAATGAAGCTATCTAACATTATGCAATAAGGCCATGATCAAAGTAATTAAAGTTCGATCTTTCAAGATATTGGATTCATCTAAATCGATATCGAAAAAATATCAATATGATTTACTTTCTAGAAAATTTTTTGGATAATAAAAATGGAATGTGAATCAATCACAAATAACGAGAAGATAAATTTGTAAAGTTTTTAACAACAAGATGATAAATGTTTTTATCAAAGTTACAATGGAATGAAACGAAATTAAATTAAATTAAGTTTTATCACATACGATATTGCTAATAATAAAACATTCCTTTCTATTTCTTATATTTAGAACTTGTAATCTCGTTTCATATATGAAATATCTTTGATCCTAGTCTAGAATCAGAGATCACAATTGTTGCTATTGCAAAAATTGAATCCAATAAACTAGAAATCTACGGAACCATAACCGTAAAGACAGACGAAATAATAAAATGGAAAGTAAAATCTAAGAGGCAGAGCAAAGTGCCTCTTAAGAATCGAAGGAACCAGACATCTCTCGCCCATTCCCGTTCAAAGAGTGAATCAAGAGCGATTAATATCTGCTTGGCCACGAATGGCGGATGTCCGTTTTCGCCTTTGGGCGTCAATGTAGAAACCGTTCGAACGATATTTACGATCGTTCCGCCCGCGGCACCGACGAGTTCGACTTGCTTTCTTACTCACAATGTAATAAGCCGCGTTTCAGCCCGGTGTACGCGCGTTTACGAGGCGTCGTCGGCCAAGTTTTACCTCGTAAACGTGGGCGGCACCACGTGGAGAGCTGATCCGTGGACACGAATTTACGCCCATTGTTCGACCATCTCGCCACTTTTCTTTTTCCTCCTCGCCGCGCATTGTGACGCGCTTTTCCTATTCGTCCTTAAAACTGTATACGGCTGAAATCGTTCTCGAGCATAGGGTAACATTGATTCGTGACGATTTTTCTTCCACTTCAAGGCTGTTTTACATAATTTCAGCTTATTCAACCCTCGTACTATCCATCACTAAAATGATATTTTGCATGTAGAGTAATGCACATAAAGTGATTATATTCTGATTACAGATTGGAGGTAAAAGTGGAGCAGATAATTCATTCAAATTTCTCTTTCTAAAAATGCGAGGTATTACTGTAAATTATTTTTATACGCTGATCTAAAATTTTATTTTCTTTTCTGAAACAGAAATATTAATCTCTTAAGAAATTAAGGGAAAAAAGGAAAAGGAATTAAATAATTTTCATATAATTTCATATTCTTGAAAAGTTGTTAATTTTAGATCAATAAAGAAGTTTTTAATGATATTATTTGTAACAATTTTATATCAATAATATATTAGTTATATTTATTTTCAATTTTTTTACTTCATGAATATAATATAAGAAATAGTAAAAGATTCCAGAAAATAGATAATTGACCAAATATGTCAGACATTGCTAAGCTTTATTTAATACAAGAGAGTACATGCATTTAACAATGCATGATCCAAAGTCGAAATCCACAACAAACAGGAATATAGTTGAATATTGCAACGTGAAGGTTAAGACAAATCAGAGTAATCTACCTACCTAGTTCAAGTTAAATCCACCTCCTAAGTAAATCAATAATTTCGTAGAATACTACTTGCCATAGTTTCACAACTGTTCAGCTTCTACAATTCCACTAATTCCACTCTAAGTACAACCAATATTACCCTTAGAATTAGACAATTTATCTTTCATGTAAATCATAAGATATACACTCCATCCTGTACATTATACGAAGAGTATTAATATATTTGAGGAACACGTTTAGAGGTAATTTAAGTCTGCCATTTTAGAGAGATAGAATTAACATGAGATAGCTCTTACTTACCTGTCACATTTATTTAATAATATTATTTAATAATACAGATTTAAATTGCTCACAATTCAATAAATAATTTTTAACACCTGAAATTTTCATGTACCAATTGTTTTGCTCTCTAAACACTATGTTCTATGAACACATTAACATATTATTTATCTACACACCTGAAATTTTCATATACCAATTGTTTTGATTTCTAAAGATTATGTTCTATGAACACATTACCTTCTGTTTACATATTTATACATATTATTTACCTACATACCTAAAATTTTCATATATCAATTGTTTTGATTCCTAAAGATTATATTCTATGAATACATTACCTTCTGTTTATATATTTATACGTATTATTTACCCACTCTAAATACATCACATCTACACAAATCATGAAACATCCATATACAAATTCCTCCATATACCAGAGAAAAGAAGAAGAAGAAAAAGAAACGAGAAACAGTGAAAGTACCTCACTGCATCGTAACGATAGCGAGGCTCGACGGATAACGCAAATCTGGAAGGGTTTACCCTTGCCGCAGGCATGGGAGGGCGGTCATTCCCTTAATCTGATCGCTTAGCCCCGGTTATTATGCTATTACAGCGTATGACTTGACGGGTTCGAAGGCAATTATCGGCAGTTAGATTTCCAGCGCTGGCACCGTTCTGGACAATGGCCGGTGAAAGGCGAAGGTTCGATCGATATCGCTGCCAATGCGAGAGCCACGTTACAGCCGCAACCTGGTTGCCGCTGTTGTTGTTCCCGCTGCTTTCCGGTGTGCCTATTGCTGCCGGCTCGCTGGTCGGCTCGCTGCTGCAGTTGCTGATGCTGACGCTGCTTAATCGCTATAAGCACCGTTGTATAACCTCTCTCCCCTCTCTCTCTCTCCTATCTCACCTCGTTCCCTATTATTTCGTCTCGTTCCTCTCTCTCTCGTCGTTCGATTGCCAAGGCCTCGAGCGGATCGACGATCAAGATGAACCGACCAGAGGAGATCTTTCGCTGAATGCGCGGCACCCGTTTAAACCCCTTTAAGAAGATAAACAGTGGAACGGCAAGCTAGGGAGGGTAGATCGTTCGATAGGGATCGACGGCTAGATCAATACATCGGGCCTCGAATTATATAATCGGCCGCTGATGTAATTTGTTCCGCGGATGAGCTTTATGCGATCAACCGCTTCTGTAATTACGGTGCTTTTAGTGCTAGGAAGAGAGAGAGAGAGAGAGGAAGAGAGAGAGAGATACGTACCTTTTTCGTAGATACGTTCCTCCTTCGAGAATCCTCAACGTGAAAGAAGGGAGACAGTGATGGATTTCGAAAATTACTACTGGTGGACTTAAGTGTAGAAGCTTAGAATAATTGATCTTCGGAATACTTACTTACTATTCTGCTGCCTAATTCGTAATAGGCAAATCTAACAAATTATGTGGCGATTTGTACGCAATTTGAAACTAATCGTATATATCCAATACACTCATTTTCATTCACTCTTTTCCATCGAAGGTTTCAAAGGAGATTATCCTTCTCTCCGGTGGGCCTCCTATGACCGATAAGAGCGGCATTAAAGGGCGATCCAGTGCACGTGGCTTTAGAAATCTTCTTCCAAAGACCATCATCGATTTCAATTCTGCCATTCGCTTTCCATTCGAATCTATCGCTTGAAAAATCGCCGTTCCCAGTGCCCTTACGCCGATTCCCAGCAGGAATAATTAAAGATATCTTGCAAAGGAGTATTCGTGCAAGGATATTGTTACTCGTGATATTAGCTGCCTCTATTCTCTCTCTGTCTCTCGGTCGTTATCATAATACTATCAGTGAACGGTCATGATTCTCCGGATGCCCCCTGCAGGCCGCTTACACGCCTCGATCGGGTTTATCCGTGGCAACAACCGAGCCGCTATCTTTACACGTGTAGATTGAACACGCCGTAACGATCGACCCTGCCACCCCTTCAGGGAGGTCTGCACTCCTGCTAGGAAGTTTCGATCTCGCGGGTGCATCCTCGTGATCAAGAAATAAGAAACCGTTTAACGATGCTTAATGTTCGTATTGACCATGATCTAAGATATGCAGATATGTAGATCCAGAGAATTTTACGAATATTCGTACACTAAACGACGTTTGACATTTCAACGATCTCGCCTTGGATGGATGGATGGAAAGAGTTCTGTCCTCTCTTTCGTCCTCTCTTCGTCAATCGAGGAAGAAGAAATTCTAGGCAGGTTCTCTTACGAACCTACCCAATTACAAAATCCTTTTATCCTACAAGTTTGTCCACGAGTTTCATTCCAAGAACCTACGACTTCATCTCGCGGTCATTCATTTTCCATTCATTCCTTCCTCGATTCCTCTACCATCGAGGCTCTCAAACGTCAAACGTGGGATCTGTAAATACGAAATCGTGCTCGACATTTTCGTAGGAGTAGAGAGGGGAGGGGGTGGCGAGTTGTCTCGTCTCTTCGAGACTCGAGCAAGAGAGAATAAATTGCGTTTCAGCGGCGCGCTTGTTCTCCGCCGATTCTCAACGGCGACCGGAAGTCGGACGGTAATGGGGAAGGGGGGGGGGGCCGGAGAAGAGAGCAGCGCACTTGGCGCAATAAAACTTATCTCTCGAGGAGGGCACCGCGTGCCTCCCTCCCCTTCTTGTACACCGAGGCCATCTTAACTACCAGACAGGACATTCACACCGACCCGATACAATCGCCTCCTTCTTCCTCACCTTAAAGTGACCGCCTCTCCTCTTTATATTCTCTCTCTCTCTCCTCCTCCCTCCTTTCTGTTATCCCACGCGCGTCATTTCTCATCGTGGAGTGGATGCTGGCGCCTCGGCCAAGATGAAATTTGTCAATACGCCACGCGGTGATAATTACTCGCGTCGACGCGATAAGCCGAGTTGGCTGGCTGGTTCCGCTTCTAATT